GCTGGGCCGCGGCGGCCAGGGGCCGGCAGGGACGCCTCAGCGCCAGCCTTCCTCAGGCTGCTGATGGGCAGGTGCAAAAGTTGCCCAAAACGTCGCGTCCTCCTAACCTTGGCACCCCACCTCTGCCAGAGGTGGAGCTGATCGAACCGGGCAGACTCAGACTGGGACAGTGGCTGGAAACGGGATAGGGAGAAAATCCGCAGGGATCTGGCATGGGGCCGGATCAGGTTGCTTTTAATTTTTGTCCTTCCAGTCAGTCCAGGTCTTTCAAGGGCCCTTCACGTGTGCTCTGCTCCACGGTGGCACAACAGCGTCCAGCCTGCGTGGTGAAGATACGACAAAGTCAGGCGGTACACACGGTAGCTGGAAAAATGTCCCTCCGTGGGCCTGGATGGACTTGGCCTCTCCGGCCGATAAGAGGTTTCTGTGCACAGGGGCTTAGAGAGACAATTGTGGGGCTCGCCCACCCGGTGTTAGAGCAGAGGGGCTAATTTGGCTCTGCTCTGGGGGTCTGCAGCGGGGACAGTCACTGGGGGGCCAGCTGCCCTGGACTGGCCACCATCGGCAACTTATTGGGACGTTTCCGAGAGGTCAGCTCTCAGTCCACCCAGGTACCCCGGATCTGGCTTGTCTCCTCATAAGGGGAAGGAGAGAGAGCTCATTAGCAACCACACCTGCAACAAATTAAAAGAGAATGGGTGGGGGGGATAAAGATGTACAAGAACAAAAGCGCTCTGGCAAAATGTGCAAAAAAAAAAAAAGAAAAAATGAGGCTGCATTAGCAAAGTCTCCCAAGGAAGCTGGGTTATTTTCATTGAAGTCGGAGTTGCACGTTATTAATTCTCGTGTCTGGGGGCGTCAGGCCCGCAACGGTGCTCCGGTCGGGGACCGCGACTTTCTGAAACGTCCCAGGAGCCAAGCGGTGATGGCTGCTCAGGAATTGCATGACCCGCGGCTGGACGTCAAGCCACTGAAGGCAGCCGCTGTCGAGGCAAAGGGGACCGGACGCCCAGGGCCGGAGCAGCGTGCCGCGGCTGTGACCCACCAGGGGCCATAAAGCCCTCTCCAGCCTCTGAGGCGGTGGATGTGGTGGCTTTCACTTTCAGCTCTAAGAAACTGGGGCTACTCAGGAGACTTGAGCACAAGCGACAGTGTTTGTCATGCTTGATTTTCTGATCAGCCAAAATGCTGCGACCTGCCAGCAGGTCTAGCTACAGAGGGCTGCTAGTTCGCTGATGACTTTACTATTTTCAGCTACTGGTAATTAATTACAAGCCCAGGTAGGAATGGAGATGAAGGCTACATGGTGAGGGCCAGGGTTCCGGTGAGGGGGCGTTTTCCCAGACTCTTGCTACCTCCCCAGAAAGTGAACCCAGCCAGGGTGGGACCCTGGCCGACACGAGCGGACAGTGGGGCCGGGGTTGCTGCAGAGAGCCCCCGCAGAGCGCCGTGTTGGTCATTGTTCTGGCTATTATGCCCATGACTGTCCGTCGAAATTCCCAAACCACTGACCTGGTCCCTCCTGGCATCCAGTCCTTGCACCTTGCACAGGGAAGGGCCCTCAAGAGTTAACTATGTGTCCGTGAAATCCCACTCCCCACCCAGACACACACACACACACACACACACACACCAAGCTGACAGACAGTGGGGTGGCTATTGTCCAAGGGGGGAGGCCGCCAGCGCCCCTGACCCACGCCCCCCGGGTGCCCCCGCACTGCTGGCCAGGGAAATCATAAATCTGCGTTAGGACTGAGGCCCCCCTGCGCCCCCTGGCCGAAGGGCTCTTGATGGAGATGAATGGGCAGCCAAGGGACCGCATCCCCCCACTCACCTACGGCTGCTGAGAGAGAAACCTGGAAACCTGTTATAGAGTGTGCCTGGCCTTGAATGTGCTCCTTGCTAGAAAACTCTCAGAAAGAATCCGCCTGGCGACTATTTTTACAACCCGAGCAAATGTAGTAAAAATAAAATAGCACGGCCGGCAGAGGTTTGGATGCCTCCACCCCGCTCCGCGCTGCCCAGAAAGCAGCACGTCCCTAATTAATTCTTTCAGCCTCGGACGCCCAACTGTTCACTAAAAGGTAGGGAGCTCCTGGCTGCTGGGGGACACCCGGCGCCGGCTGCGGCTCGGCTCTGGGGAGGGCAGCCTTCGCCGCGGGGGGGGGGGGGGGGCTGGATGGTGCTGGCTGGGGCAGCGAGAGGAGGCAGGAGGCCCAGACAGAGGCCGAGGCCGGAGGCCTGGGGTGCAACTTGCAAATCTATCAAGCTATTGCTCCGCAGCTCTGCTGGCGTAAATACCACGCATTCCCTGGAAGATGGGGGCTGGGGTGGGAGGGAGCCAGCCCGCTAAATCTGCTGGGGGGAATAAATGTGTTTACAACTAGTCAATCAATTGGGCGTTCCTGGCATGGTAGGGGGAATTGTGAGTTCAGCGCTCCAATATCTCGGCTGGCTTTTGCCAAAAAGAAAGGGGGGGGGGGAAAGCCAGCGTCCCCACAAAGAGGCGGGAGCGAGAAGCCAGCAGGGGGAATTTCAGAGTAAGAGGCTGTATCCCGGTGGATCGTTTTTCTCCTTGGAAAATAAATCTTCACCTGATATTATTAAGAAACTGCAGCTCCCAGAAACAAATAGAATCAATGCGCTTTATTTTCTTTTAAGCGTCCTCAGGAACCGAGGGGCTGATAGCCAGGGTATTAAAACCTGAAAATTAGATTTTACCAGGATTTCTGAACTCAGATCTCTCTGTCTTATTGAATTAGCGCCTCTCGGTGTAGCTGGGCTCTGGAGCAAGCTCCTCCCAGAGTTGCCGGCTGCGCCCTTCTGTCGTGGGAAACTTGGCTGGGTGGGAGCTGGCACCTTGGGGGGTCCCTGGAAGGGGGTTCTGGGGGCCTTAGCCAGGACCCAGCCCACCTAGAGTGGCTCTCCCTTCCCGCGGGGGCAGAGGGAGGGCGTGAAATCTGCTTGGAGATGGAGCTGAGGGGGCAGGAAGGAAGAGGGAGCCCTCCCCCGCGGGGGTCACCTTGCTTCCCCTCCCCCTTCTCGCTAGATCCAGTACTTGCCCCAGCTCACCGTCAGCCCAGAGAGCTCCGGATTCCAGAGGCCTCGCTGCCCTCAGCTCCCAGCCCAGAACCTTCTCCAGCTCCCGGACCCCCCCACCACCACGGCCACGCGGTCCGGGAGCCCGAAAAGTTGATCTCGGGTAGTGGTCGCGAGAAGGTGACCTCCACGGCGCCGCTGCGCGGGGGCACACGGGCGGGGAGTGGCGGTCCCTGCGGGACGGCTGGGCTGGCGCGCGGGGGGCCTCAGGGATCCCCGCTGGTGTGCCGCCAGCCGCTGGGTCGCACACGGACGAGCCGGGCAATCCTGCAGCCGCTTTTTGTCTCTCCAAAGTTGAGAGCAAGCCCGAGGGCTATTAACAATCACGCCCTTAGTGAAGTCCCCGCGGGCACCCGGCGTGCCCCCTCATTTGGCACCGCCCCCCTTAATTAGAAGACGCCCGAGCAAAGCGCCCAGAATTAGTTGCATTCTGTTCCACAGCGCGGCGGCCAGCCGCGACCCGGTCCCGGTCTCCGCTCCCCGCCCCCAACCCAGGCAAGCAACTTACTCGGAGCTGAGCACCACCGGCAGCCAGCGGTCCTCTTCCCGCCTTCCCGTTGCTCTGCTCCCGGGCTCGAGACCTGACTCCACAGTACCCCCAAGCCTGTCCTTGCACACTCCTCCCCCACCCCGCCGCCCACCCCCAGGCACAGAGAGAAGTTTCCAGCGGTGAATGCACAGAGTTTCTCCCTGCAACTCGAGCCCCGTTTTCAAGAGAGGGGGGAGGCGGGTGAATGGTGGAGGGCGGCTCTAGATGCGGGGAGGAAGCCGGGGTGGCGGTGGAGAAGGGCCAATTCCCCTGCCACAAATGCACCCTGGCATTCTTGCAGCATCCATCCCTCCGTCCCCAGCAGCGCGCAAGCACACACACACACACACACACACACACACAAACACACGTAGGCTGCAAGAAAGACCCTGAGGGGGAAAACCAGCCAGAGAGCACGCTACTCCTTTAAGATGCTCCCACAAATGCACACTCACACACCCCTCTCCCGGCTGGGTCCTGCGCTAGACCAGCCGCTACCAAACAACTTTTGCACCCCGGCCTTCCCCGGCTGCTTTAAGTGGCTCCGGCGCCCGGCCAAAGCCTGCACGGTCACCCCAGCCCTTTAAAAATGAAACCAGGCTGGGAAAGCAGCCGCAGCTCTCCCCCGCTGCCTCCGGCTCTCCCGCCCGCCGCCCGCCGCCCGCCCGCCTTACCCGGGCTCGGAGCAGCTTCCCGGAGCGGAGACCCGGAGGCCGAGGGCCGCC